GCCCTCCCGCTCATTCGTGTTCATTCGTTCAGCTGCTCCTGCTCCTGCTCTTCCTTTCCCCTCCCCGCTCCCTGTCTGCAAGCAGAGGATGGCCCAGGACGCCCATCTAGAAATGGCAGGAATTCGCAAATGCAATCAGCCCCAAGGCTCTGTTCTCACCACCACCTCCTCTGCTGACATTAAAGCCCTGCTCACCCGTTTGGGGCGTTCCCTTTCCCTGTTCATCATCCAGAGCTTCTTGGGTGTGGGAGCCAGTTCCCCAGGCTGGGCGCCCTCGAGGGCCTGCCTCCCCAACTTCCCCTTGCCTGGCACCCGCCTTGCAGGGGAGGTGTGTGCTGGGGGCGGGTCTGCCCTCATCCCCACGTGACCCCGACAGCCTCTCTCCTGGCCCCCCAGCTTCCGCCACCCCCTGCCCTCCATGTCCACCTGTCTCAGCGCCACCAGACTGTTCTGATCCTGGGCAAGTAAACTAAGATGCTGGCTGGCTCCTGGACGGAGCCTCCCAACACCTGCATTGCTGAGTGCACCCCTGTCTCCTGGAGGGGGCCCCAGAACAACGGCCTCCCCAAGGACACTGACAACTTCTCATCCCTGGGCCCTACCCTGCACAGCTCCCTACACAGTGTGGGGGAGGGGGAGGGTGGGCCTGGGAGAGAGGTTGGGGAGTTGGAGGAGATACCCTGTGCCTGTCTCTCTGGCATGCTGTGCACCCCAAAGTACCTAGACTAATGTATTTTCTGTATCAGCTTCATGGCTGAATGAGCCAGAGGACTGCCCCGTGCCGCAAGCCAGCCGGCCCTCTCCCAAGTGTGGGCCAGGGCATCGCATAGAGGGTTACTCTGCTCTAGCTGGCCCTTCATCTGTGCTGCTGCCACTGGTGTCCACGGCCCAGTACAGGGCCACGCAGGCTCCTGGAACTTGCACTCATCTGCAGGTCCATACCCTGCTTCCAGCACAGAGAGGTTGTGTGACTTTTGTGAAGTCACACAGCAGGTAAGTGGCGAGAAGCAAAGTCTGCTCACTTGTGCGTTCCCACTAGGGGCCCCACTGCTCCTGGCAGTCGGGGGGGGGGGGGTTGAGTGAGCAAGTCCAGCACAGAGTAGGTGCTCAGTGAAACCTTCCGGCGTGAGGAATGTTCCCTCGGCCTCGGCTCTGGGAGCGTCTCCAGCAGGGCTGCTCTGGCTCCGGTCCCCTGGGGCCGGCTCCTGCCCCCAGCTGTTTGCAGGCTCTCCAGGCCAGAGCAGAGCTCTGGGCAGCTCCTCTGCACGTACTTCCCAGGGCAGCTGCAGATAAATTCCAAAGAGGGGCTGGTGGAGGGGGTTCAAGCACAGAGTCCAGGCGTGAACATTCCTGAAGCAAGACCAGACCCAGATGCAAAGATTCTAGAGATGGCCTGGGGACCAGGCCCCCGGGAGGCGCCGGGCTGCTCACAGCTGGCTGGCTGTCATCTATTCGTCCCATGAACGCACATGGGGCCACACACTATGGGCTGCCCAGGGCTGTCTGGGCCACTCGGCCGCACAGAGCACACAGCCCTTCCGCAGCCCGGCCCACCGCTTCAGGGCGCGAGTGGCAGAGGTGGACCGGCCCGGCCTCCACACCCCGCCTCGCCAGCCCCCGCCGGCTGGCTCAGTGACCCAGTCTGTCTCCCAGAGGGAGGAGACCCCTGCAGGGTGACCCCAGCCCCCAGGGTTTGCCTAGAGACCAAGGGTCAACGTCACCACCCCTCGTGTCCCTGCCTAGCCGGCCGGGGTGATCTGCAACTGGGGAACCCGGCAGGCCCACCAGGTGCTCTGCCTGCAGGAGCACTTGGGCAGAAGTCCATGTTTAGCGCGTGCTCTTGGCCGGAGGGTGTCCCCTCCGGGTGGTGGAACAGAGGCCAGGCTGGGCCGAGAGACACTGCTCTAATGCCAGCCGGGAGGTCTGAGGGAAGCCACCTCGCCTCTCCGAGCCTCGGTTTTCCATCTGTGAGATGGGAGCAAAGACGTCACCCTGCTGGGCGTGATGGGGACCGAGTCAGGGCTGCACAGGCCATTAGGTTCCTTTCCAATCTTCACCAAAGGGACTGCGCCTGTGTCCCCCGTGTGGGTCCATGGAGCCCCCATCTCTCCTCAGCGTGATTATGGGGTGGGCGTGGCATCTGTGTGCTCCTCTCCCTGCCTCCTCCAGCCACCCGTGTCCTTAGGCCCGCGGGTGTCTCTGCTGCTCTCTGGGGATACTCTCGGGGTGTGTACGGATGAAAAGAGAGCTGGGACGCTGGGCCTGGGCTCCCTGGCCTCTCCGGGCTGCATCTGGGGCCCTGGCCAGCACGGCGGGCTTCTTTCTGAAGGGGGGTGGCAGGTCAGCCTAAGGCCAACATATGAAAGTGCCCGAAATTCCTCCACCCAGAACCTCCCCACGCCAGACCTGCTGGGTCTCCAGGGAAGCTGGGCAGGGGCACCTGGGTGCGGGGGTGGGGGGGTCTCCTGGCCTGTCCACTGGGCCTAGGATCTTGCAGGGCTCCACCTGCCTGCCGGGCAGGCCCTGGGCCAGGACCGTGGGTATGCTCCCTTGTCTTGGAAAAGCTACTTATTCAAGAATAACTTACAGAAAGCCACAGATCTGCCGTGTGCAGCTTGGCAAGCTGCTGTCTGGAGCTTATCTGTGGGCCCTTCCCCTAGAAGGAAGGCCCCTCACCCGGCACCACCTGAGGTCACGACAACAAGGGTCTTCCAGCCCAGAGCCTCGTCCTGTGAGTTCTGGGACTCCATGGGCACCTCTGCTCCTGGATTCTCACCAGAGAGACTCGGCAGGTGAATTCTCTGTATCCCTGCGGCCCACTCGTGGGCATGCTGTGGCCTCTGCCTCACTGAGCCACGGGACCCATGTGGAGGTCCCATTGGAACCCCACTTTTACTCAGGCTGCCCCCAGAACTCAGGCTTCAGGAAGAGGACGCCTGGTGGGACACGTGGTAGTGGCCGGGACCCCAGGGCCTTTGCATACAGTCGTCACTCGACCACATTTATTATACAAATAAAATGGGGGTGGGAGAAGGGACCCTCAGGCACCCGGTTGGGAATGTAGATGAGACCCGCCC